ATGTATTGTTGAATTCAGTTTGCTAATATTTTGTTGAGGATTTTTGCATCTGTATTCAGCAGTGATATTGGCCTGTAATTTTCTTTTTATGTGGTGTCTTTGTTCGGTTTAAGTATCAGAATGATATTGGCTTCATAGAATGAGTTTGGAAGCATTCTATCCTCTTCTCTTTCATTTTGGAGTAGTTTGAGAATGATCAAAGATAACCTTTCTCTGTTTGGCAGAATTCACCTGTGAAGCTGTCTGGCCCTGAACTTTTGTTTGTTGGGGGTTTTTAAATTACTGATTCAATTTCATCACTGGTAATTGGTCTGTACATATTTTCTATTTCTTCCTGATTCATTCTTGGGATACTGTATGTTTCTGGGAATTTATTTCTTCTAAGTTGTCCATATTATTGGTGCATAGTTGTTTGTAGTAATCTCTTATGAGCCTTTGTGTTTCAGTGGTATCAGTTGTAACTTCTTTCATTTCTGATTTTATATATTTGAGCCCTCTCTCTTTTTTTCTTGATGAATCTGGATAAAGTTTTATCAATTTTGTTTATCTTTTCAAAGAACCACCTCTTAGTTTCATTAATCTTTCATGTTTTTATTTTTTGGTCTTTATTTCATTAATTTCTTCTCTGATCTTTATGATTTCTTTCCTTCTATTAACTTCGGGTTTTGTTCTTCTTTTTCTAGATGTAAGGTTAGATTGTTTGAGATTTTTCTCATGTTCTAGGGAAGGATTGTACCTCTATAAATTTCCCTCTTAGAGCTGCTTTTGCTGTGTCCCATAGGTTTTGGGTCATTGTGTTTTCATTCTCATTTGTCTCTAGGTATTTTTTTGATTTCCTCTTTGATTTCTTCAGTGATCCATTAGTTGTTTAGTAGTATATTCTTTAGCCTTCCCATGTCTGTGTTTTTTGCAGTTTTTTCTCATAATGTTGTGATTGGAAAGGTATTTGATATGATTTCAATCTTATTAAATTTATTGACAATTGTTTTGTGGCCTAGCATGTGATCTATCCTGGAGAACGTTCCACATGCACTTGAAAAGAATGTGTATTCAGCTACTTTTGGATGGAATGTACTCTATGTATCTATTAACTCCATCTGGTTTAATGTGTCATTTAAGGTCAGTGTTTTCGTATTGATCTTCTGTCTGGATGATCTATCTTTGATGTAAATGGGGTGTTAAAGTCCCCTACTGTTATTGTGTTACTGTCAATTTCTCCCTTTATGTCTGTTATTATTTGCTTTATATATTTAAGTGTTCCTACAATTGTTTTATCTTCCTTTTGGATGGATCTCTTCATCATTATGCACTGTCCTTCCTTGTCTCTTGTTACAGTCCTTGTTTTAAAGTCTATTTAGTCTAAGTATTGCTACCTGGCTTTCTTTTGATTTCCATTTGAATGGAATACCTTTTCCATCTCCTCACTTTCAGTCTGTATGTGTCCCTAGATCTGAAGTGGGTCTCTTGTAGAGTCTTGTTTTTGTATCCATTCAGCCACCATATATCTTTCAATTGGAGCATTTAGTCTATTTACATTTAAAGTAATTATTAATAAATATGTATTTATTACCATTTGTTCATTGTTTGCTGGTTGCTTTTGTAGTTCTTTTTCTCTCCTTTCTTCTTTTGCTCTCTTCCCTTGTGACTTGATGGCTATCTTTATGTTATTTTGGGTTCCTTTCTCCTTTTTGTGTGTGTGTATATATTATTTTTGGTTTGTGATTACCATGAGTTGTGTATATCTGTGTCCATATATTTATATTTTTTTCTCACAGGTGGGCATTTTATTTTCCCACTTTTTGCTGCCCAACTTCTGTGCATCTTCCTATGTTTGTGGACTACCCCAACTTTGAGGTGGAAATCTCCTCTCCTATACAGATTTTTTAAAATTGAAGTATAATTGCTTTACAATGTTGTGTTATTTTCTGCTGTACACCGAGGTGAATCAGCTATATGTATAGCCCTCCCTCTTGGACCTCCTTCCCACCCACCCCCCATCCAACCCATCTAGGTCATCACAGAGCACTGAGCTGACCTCCTCATGCTATAACAGGGAAAGATAACAGGTTCCCACTAGCTAGCTATTTTACACATAGTAGTGTATATATGTCAGTCCTAATCTCCCAATTCATCCCACCCTCCCCTTCCCCACCATGTCCACCTGCCCATTCTCTACGTCTGCATCTCTATTGCTGCCCTACAAAGAGGTTCATCTGTACCATTTTTTTAGATTCCACATATATGTGTTAATATACAATATTTGTTTTTCTCTTTCTGACTTGCTTCACTCTGTATGACAGACTCTAGGCCCATCCACATCTCTATAAATGACCCAATTTCATTCTTTTTATGGCTGAGTAATATTCCATTTACATTTAGTCCATTTACATTTAAAGTAATTATTTTTTAAATTTTTAAAAATTTTATTTTTTGGCTGAGTCAGGTCTTAGTTGCAGCATGTGGGATCTTTGTTGAGGCATGTGGGCTTCCCTCTAGTTGTGGCATGAGAGTTTTCTCTTTTCTAGCTGTGATGCATGGGCTCCAGAGTGCATGGGCTCTGTAGTTTGTGGCACGCAGGCTCTCTAGTTGAGGTGCATGAGCTCAGTAGTTTTGGCATGCATGCTCAGTTGCCCCATGGCATGTGGGATCTTAGTTCCCTGACCAGGGATCGAACCCGAGTCCCCTGCATTGTAAGGCAGATTGTTTACCACTGGACCACCAGGGAACTCCCTAAAGTAATTATTGATAAATATGTATTTATTACCATTTATTCACTGTTTTCTGGTAGTTTTTGAAGTTCTTTTTTTTTCCTTTCTTCTTTTGCCCTCCTCCTTTGTGATTTGCTGTCTATCTTTATGGTTTTTTTGGGTTTCTTTCTCCTTTTTTGTGTGTGTATCTATTATAGGTTTTTGGTTTGTGATTACCATGAGGTGTGTGTGTCTACATATATATTTTTTTAATTTGAAGATCTCTTAAGTTTGAAAGCATTCTAACAAAGCTGCATTTGTACTTCTGCCACCATGTTTCATGTTTAATGGTTTTGATATATTTTACATCTTTTTTTTGAATCCCTTAACTCCTTATTGTGAATTTAGATATTTTACTACTTTTGTCTTATATACATGGTTGATCTACTACCTTTATTGTGCATTTATACATGGTTGATCTACTAGCTTTACTGTGTGTTTGGATTTTTCCTTTCTTAATTTTTATATTTCTGGTTGTGGTCTTTTCTTTTCCACTTAGAGAAGTCCCTCTAACATTTCTTGTAAAGTTGGTTTAGTGGTGCTGAGCTCTTTTACCTTTGCTTGTCTGTAACCTCTATACCTACTTCAAATCTGAATGATAGCCTTGCCAGGTGGAGTAATTTTGGTTGTAGGTTTTTTTCCATTTATTACTTTGAATATATTCTGTCACACCCTTCTGGCCTGCAAAGTTTCTGCTGAAAAGTCAGCTGATAGTCTTATGGGAGTTCCCTTGCATGTAACTAGTGGGTTTTCCCTTGCTGTTTTTAAGATTCTCTTTTATCCTTAATTTTTTCTATTTTAGTTATAATGTGTCTTGTTGTGGACCTCTTGGGGTTTATCTTGTTTTGGACTCTCTATGCTTCCTGGACCTGGATGACTGTTTCCTCCCCCAGGTTAAGGAAGTTTTCAAATATTACTTCCTTAAATAAATTCTCTGCCGGTTTCTCTCTTTTTTCTCCTTCTGGGACCCCCTATAATGCAAATGTTAGTATGCTTCATGTTGTCCTAGAAGTCTCCTAAGCTATCCTCATTTTTTAAATTCTTTTTTCTTTTCTCTGTTCAGCTTGGGTGATTTCCACTATGCTGTCTTCCTTAAATGTTTGATAGAATTAACCAGTGAACCAATCTGGGCCTGGTGTTTTCTACTTTGAAAGGTGAATTATTCATTAAATTTCTTTAATAGCTATTGATCTATTCATATTGTCTATTTCTCCTTATGTGAGGTTTGGTAGGTTGTGTCTTTCAAGGAATCAATCCATTTTGTTTAGGTTATCAAATTTGTGAGCATAGCATTATTCATAATGTTTGTTCATTATCATTTTAGTGTCCACGGAATCAGTAGTGATGACCCGTCTTTCATTTCTGATATTAGTATTTTGTGTTCTCTGTCTCTCTCATTGCTGCTACCCAGCATCACAGGACAGAGTGAGTATCATACAGTGTATCACTAGCCTGGGGAAAGATCAAAATTCAAAATTAGTAGTATGGTTTCTACTGAATATGTACCACTTTTGCACCATCATAAAGATGAAAAATTGTAAGTCAAACCATCATAAGTCAGGGACCGTGTGTGTGTGTGTGTGTGTGTGTGTGTGTGTGTGTGTGTGTGTGTCTGTGTGTGTGTAACTTTTAGCCAGGAGAAAATTATGCAAAACTAATGTTGTCTTTCAGGCTGAACAATTTAGGGTAACATCTGTTTTCTCATCTAACTTAGTATAATCAGGAGACAGGCTGGGGACCAATAATTTTTTTCTCTACTTTCCATTTGGTGTGGGGCACTAAAATTTAGAAGACCAATTATATACAATTCTTACAAAATTTAAACATGGATTTTTGATTTAATAAAAGCTAGCTAGGAAAGGTCATCTGTTGTTTAACTCAGATTCACCAGTCACATTTTTTTCTCTGAATTTACCTGGAAGATATTTAATATGAAAATCATATATTTGAGGAATTTTTTAAAAACTTCTGTTTTATGACTAACAAATCACCTGACTTTTACACTTTTACATTACATAGAAAGGAAACATAGTTTGGTATCATTTTCCCAGTTATAATGTAAGCTGTTTTACTTATTGAGTATCTATAAGAAAATAAATCCTAAGATACTTTCTGATTTAAAATTAACTATTTGAGGTTTATTCACTTCATCTATTTCATAAATAATCAATATCCAACAACTGTTTAACATTATAGAGTGAGAAGTTGTGAACTGATATATACAGAATGTTGAAGACTAATTTTTTTTTATAGGCAGAACTTCTAGATGCTGCTGCTGGCATTAATGTACGATTCAGATTAGGTGGTGTAAGTATGGATAAATTCTTATTTAGTACTTTTAAAGCACATTTACATGAAATTTAAAAGATGTAATTTTAAAAAACATAAACCATTTTTCTAATTAAATTGAAACTAAAGTCCTTTGAACTTTTCCAACTATAGGTTAAATTTCCACCTGAAATATACTATAAAATTTTCACTCACAGACATATTGAAGATCTGTGTGCTAATAGCCCTAGAGATTACACAAAACTTCCAGCAAAACATACATCTCATATTAAAAGTGATAATCTTCAGGAAGAGGATTATAGTGGCTGGTATCGTCGTACAGAGAACAATGGCTGGAGGCCTGTTTCTGATAAAGTAAGAAAAGATAAACATTAATAATTTTGAATATTATGTGCTTACAAACCTATCTGTCTTTCTGAAAATTAATTTTTAGATTATTTTTAAAAATAATGAATCCTACTAATTTAACTGATAAAATTTACTTAACTATTCTGTGGTTACTAATATACTTCAAGATACAGCAATATATCTTTTTTTTTTTTACATTTACTTCTACTTTTAATAGTCATCTTTGAATCTAGGCTATCTTTAGATACTCTGTGGCATTCAGCTATTACCCATCTTTATAACAAAGCGAATCTGAAGATGTTGTTGATTCTATATTAATCCTTGAACAAGAGGTGAGGGTTCTTGAGAATAATATGCCATTTTCTCTATAGAGCTTGTAACAGCAGACACTAGTGGGAGATCATTTGGGTTTTCATGATGTTGGAAAATTTAACATGTGCTCATATGAACAGAATGATTTTAAATATATATAGTTCCTAATTCATATATGTGATTCTAGGACTTTTCTATAGACACCCATGTTTAATCTTTTTGTGGAAATAATTTCTATCTAAGGATATTTGTAAGCTTATATTTTTAAAGTTAATATTATCTGGTTCTATAGCTCTGGATATTTGTTTATATAGCCGCAAGTATCTTCATTCAAATCCTCAATCTCTGGTATACAGATTGTAGAATGTAGTATACTGAATATACTAAGTATGAAAAGTGAAAATGATCAAAGTGTGAATTCATTCATTCATTCAACAAACTTTATTGCATACCAACCAGATGTCAGGCATTGTACTAGATGCTTGGGAAGCAATAGTACATAAGAATAGTCCTTCCCCTCAAGTAGTTTGCTTTTAATTAAGGAGAAAGTCAAGTAAACAGGATATTTCAGTACAGTGCAGTGAATATGTGATTTAATAGAGGCAAGTTCAGAGTGCGGTGGGGGGTAACAAACTTTCCTCTTTGTTATTTAATGTGTATGTGGTGAGGGAGGAAGAATGAATTGGAAATAGGAAAACAGGCAATCAGTATAAAGTGTCAAACAGGGGAAACCACAAAGTCTTGGGACACAATGGTGAGATTTCTGTATTCTTTGAGTGTGCCCATATTCCTTGAGGATTAGAGTCTTCAAAAGTCAATAGCACCTACTGGTCAGATCTGTTCTTATGAGAAACTAAAACACTCTTAGAATATGTCTATTCATTTATTCATTCAACAAATACTTATTAAATAGTACCTCAGTACTCTAATTTTCCTATGGCATGTGCCTCTTAAGGTTCAATGTGCCATTCACTTAATTAGAAATATCTTAAAAGGGTCTATCCTCTCCTCTTTTTCTATCTTGGCATATTCCTACTGAACACATAGAAGTTCTTTTCTATAGTCAGATAACCTCATAATCAGTAATCCAATATTTTGTGTATTCATTTATCATTTCTCAATAGTTTTGGAAGTCTACTGAAAATGTAATGGTGGGAGACAAAAAGGAAAGTGAATTCCATTTCTCTAAATTAAAGAGAAGGCAAGATATAGAAAAGAAAAGAAAAATTAGAAAAATACAATGGATGCAGCAAATGTAAGTTGATGAAATACTTAGACTTACTAAAGAAGTATACAGTCATTTTTTTAGACTGCTATCACTACTAAAGTAACTACATGTTACTTTAAAAATAAGATGAAATATTACAGTATATTTTTTAAAATACATAGAAAGTAAATACATAATAAATGCCTGCTAGACACTGTTAATCTCTGGGATATAAACGGGAAAAGACAGGTTCTCTTTGACCACAAGGAAATCATAATCTTTTGGAACATGAGATACGAAAATCAGCATTTACTCTTATATATGAGATAACTTTAATATGACCCACTAGACCCACTCTATACCATTCTCAACCTTTCTTTCTCCCCTAAAGAAACTGACTTGTACAGATTACACTAAAAGTCATTCTGGACCTATCTAACAAATATTAAAAGCAAGTCTCAAAAGAATCAAATTGTTTCCAAGTTTACCTGACAATGTATAAGAACAAAGCCCCCAAATATTTAAAGGAACACAATAAACTCAAGTGGTCAAAATCTATAAAATTTACAATGTCTACCATATAGTAATCGATTACCAGGCACTCAAAGAAGCAGGAAAATATATCCCTGAGAAGAAAAAATAATATCAGCTAACTCACCAAAAATATCTTTTAAAAATAAAAATGGAGAGACACGAGGGGGAAGACGGCGGAAGAATAAAAGAGATCACCTTCCTCCCCAAAGATACATCAGAAATACATCTACACGTGGAACAACTCCTACAGAACACCCACTGAACGCTGGCAGAAGACCTCAGACCTCCCAAAAGGCAAGAAACTCCCCACGTACCTGGGTAGGGCAAATGAAAAAAGAATAAACAGAGACAAAAGAATAGGGACGGGACCCGCACCAGCGGGAGGGAGCTGTGAAGGAGGAAATGTTTCCACACACTAGGAAGCTCCTTCGCAGGCGGAGACTGTGGGTGGCGGAGGGGGAAGCTTCAAAGCCACAGAGGAGAGCGCAGCAACAGGGTGCGGAGGGCAAAGCAGAGAGATTCCTGCACAGAGGATCAGTGCCGACGGGCACTCACCAGCCCGAGAGGGTTGTATGCTCAACCGCTGGGGCGGCTGGGGGCTGGGAGCTGAGGCTCGGGCTTTGGTCGGAGCGCAGGGAGAGGACTGGCTGCGTGAACACAGCCTGAAGGGGTTAGTGCACCACGGCTGGCTAGCCGGGATGGAGTCCGGGGGAAAGTCTGGACCTGACGAAGAGGCAAGAGACTTTTTCTTCCCTCTTTGTTTCCTGGTGCGTGGGGAGAGGGGATTAAGAGCGCTGCTTAAAGGAGTTCCAGAGGCGGGTGCGAGCTGCGGCTAACAGTGCGGACCCCAGAGACGGGCATTAGACGCTAAGGCTGCTGCTGCCGCCACCAAGAAGCCTGTGTGCGAGCACAGGTCACTATCCACACCCCCCTTCCGGGGAGCCTGTGCAGCCTGCCACTGCCAGGGTCCGGAGATCCAGGCACAACTTCCCCTGGAGAACACATGGTGTGCCTCAGGCTGGTGCAACGTCCTGCTGGCCTCTGCCGCCGCAGGCTCGCCGCGCACTCCATGGGCCTTCCTCCCCGTGGCCTGAGTGAGCCACAGCCCCCGAATCAGCGGCTCCTGTAACCTCATTCTTTCTGAGCGAAGAACAGACGCCCTCCGGTGACCTACACGCAGAGGCGGGGCCAAATCCAGAGCTGAGGCCCGGGTGCTATGTGAAGAAGAGAAAGGGAAATTTTTCCAAGCAGCCTCAGGAGCAGCGGATTAAAGCTCCACAATCAACGTGATGTACCCTGGATAGGTGGAATACCTGAATAGACATCGAATCATCCCAAATTGAGGAAGTGGACTTTGAGAGCAAGATATATTGTTTTTTCCCCTTTTCCTCTTTTTCTGACTGTGTATGTGTATGCTTCCGTGTGAGATTTTGTCTGTATAGCTTTGCTTTCACCATTTGTCCTAGGGTTCTGTCCATCCATTTTGTTTTGTTTTGTTTTTACTTTAAAAAATTTTTTTTTCTTAATAATTATTTCTTACTTTTTATTTTAATAACTATTTTATTTTATCTTACTTTATTTTATTTTATCCTCCTTCTTTCTTTCTTTCTGCTTTTTCTCCCTTTTATTCTGAGCCATGTGGATGAAAGGCTCTCGGTGCTGAAACCAGGAGTCAGTGCTGTGCCTCTGAGGTGGGAGAGCCAACTTCGGGACACTGGTCCACAAGAGACCTCCCAGCTCCATGTAATATCAAATGGCGAAAATCTCCCAGAGATCTCCATCTCAACACCAACACTCAGCTTCACTCAACGACCAGCAAGCTACATTGCTGGACACCCTATGCCAAACAACTAGCAAGACAGGAACACAACCCCACCCATTAGCAGAGAGGCTGCCTAAAATCATAATAAGGCCACAGACACCCCAAAACACACCATCAGATGTGGACCTGCCCACCAGAAAGACAAGATCCAGCCTCATCCACCAGAACACAGGCACTAGTCACCTCTACCAGGAAGCCTACACAACCCACTGAACCAACTTTAGCCACTGGAGACACACAACAAAAACAACGGGAACTACGAACCTGCAGCCTGCAAAAAGGAGACCCCAAACACAGTAAGATAAGCAAAATGAGAAGACAGAAAAACACACAGCAGGTGAAGTAGCAAGATAAAACCCACCAGACCTAACAAATGAAGAGGAAATAGGCAGTCTACCTGAAAAAGAATTCAGAATAATGATAGTAAAGATGATCCAAAATCTTGGAAATAGAATAGACAAAATGCAAGAAACATTTAACAAGGACCTAGAAGAACTAAAGAGGACACAAGCAATGATGAACAACACAATAAGTGAAATTAAAAATACTCTAGAAGGGATCAGTAGCAGAATAACTGAGTCAGAAGAACGGATAAGTGACCTGGAAGATAAAATAGTGGAAATAACTACTGCAGAGCAGAATAAAGAAAAAAGAATGAAAAGAACTGAGGACAGTCTCAGAGACCTCTGGGACAACATTAAACGAATGAACATTCGAATTATAGGGGTCCCAGAAGAAGAAGAGAAAAAGAAAGGGACTGAGAAAATATTTGAAGAGATTATAGTTGAAAACTTCCCGAATATGGGAAAGGAAATAGTTAATCAAGTCCAGGAAGCACAGAGAGTCCCATACAGGATAAATCCAAGGAGAAACACACCAAGACACATATTAATCAAACTGTCAAAAATTAATACAAAGAAAACATATTAAAAGCAGCAAGAGAAAAACAACATATAACACACAAGGGAATCCCCATAAGGTTAATAGCTGATCTTTCAGCAGGAACTCTGCAAGCCAGAAGGGACTGGCAGGACATACTTAAAGTGATGAAGGAGAAAAACCTACAACCAAGATTACTCTACCCAGCAAGGATCTCATTCAGATTTGATGGAGAAATTAAAACCTTTACAGACAAGCAAAAGGTGAGAGAGTTCAGCACCACCAAACCAGATTTAGAACAAATGCTAAAGGAACTTCTCTAGGCAAGAAACACAAGAGAAGGAAAAGACCTACAATAACAAACCCAAAACAATTAAGAAAGTGGGAATAGGAACATACATATCAATAATTACCTTAAATGTAAATGGATTAAATGCTCCCACCAAAAGATACAGATTGGCTGAATGGATAAAAAAACAAGACCCATATATATGCTGCCTACAAGAGACCCACTTCAGACCTAGGGACACATACAGACTGAAAGTGAGGGGAGGGAAAAAGATATTCCATGCAAATGGAAACGAAAAGAAAGCTGTCATAGCAATTCTCATATCAGACAAAATAGACTTTAAAATAAAGACTATTACAAGAGACAAAGAAGGACACTACATATTGATCAAGGGATCGATCCAAGAAGAAGATATAACAATTGTAAATACTTATGCACCCAACATAGGAGCACCTCAATACATAAGGCAAATACTAACAGCCATAAAAGGGGAAATCGACAGTTACACATCCATAGTAGGGGACTTTAACACCCCACTTTCACCAATGGACAGATCATCCAAAATGAAAATAAATAAGGAAACACAAGCTTTAAATGATACATTAAACAAGATGGACTTGTTTGATATTTGATATTTATAGGACATACCATCCCAAAACAACAGAATACACATTTTTCTCAAGTGCTTATGGAACATTCTCCAGGAGATCATATCTTGGGTCAAAAATCAAGCCTTGGTAAATTTAAGAAAACTGAAGTTGTATCAAGTATCTTTTCCAACCACAACACTATGAGAATAGATATCAATTACAGGAAAAGATCTGTAACAAAATACAAACACATGGAGGCTAAACAATGCACTACTTAATAACGAAGTGATCACTGCAGAAATCAAAAAATACCTAGAAACAAATGACAATGGAGACACGATGACCCAATACCTATGGGATGCAGCAAAAGCAGTTCTAAGAGGGAAGTTTATAGCAATACAATCCTACCTTAAGAAACAGGAAATATCTCGAATAAACAACCTAACCTTGCACCTAAAACAATTAGATAAAGAAGAAAAAAAACACCCCAAAGTTAGCGGAAGGAAAGAAGTCATAAAGATCAAATCAGAAATAATTGAAAAAAATGAAGGAAACGATAGCAAAGATCAATAAAACTAAACCCTGGTTCTTTGAGAGGATAAACAAAATTGATAAACCATTAGCCAGACTCATCAAGAAAAAAAGGGAGAAGACTGAAATCAATAGAATTAGAAATGAAAAAGAAGTAACAACTGACACTGCAGAAATATAAAGGATCATGAGAGATTACTACAAGCTATTCTATGCCAATAAAATGGACAACCTGGAAGAAATGGACAAATTCTTAGAAATGCACAACATGCTGAGACTGAACCAGGAAGAAATAGAAAATATGAACAGACCAATCACAAGCACTGAAATTGAAACTGTGATTAAAAATCTTCCAACAAACAAAAGCCCAGGACCAGATGGCTTCACAGGCGAATTCTATCAA